AATCTAAAACTCCATGGAAGAGAATTCTGTTTGAAGGAAGAGGTATGCAAGGAATGCAACCGACAGGAAATGATGGCTTATTAAGAACACAAAGAAGTGAATAAGCTATGAGGGAGGCTCCTGTCTGGATATTCGTTCTTTTTGTTACTCCCCTGAACCTGCTTCAGCCAATTCTTCCAACCATTTGCACCGTTTGATGGTGGGTTATTGTAAAGTATCTATTAAAGTTAGATGCTATACTAGTTGAACTTTAGTTTTCCTTCTTTTGTAAATCAATAGGAAATGGAGATTTAAAGGCTATATATTGAGATAGCCCAATCACATTTTTTTTCCTTCACACAGACACAACATCAAGATCTGGATTTAATTTCACATGAAACTAGAAGTTTTTCAACAGCTTTTAGCTGTTCTTTCCCCAACTCCCAAAGACCTAAACCATGCACTTCTTTTACCGCGCTGTGGAACATCACGCAATCACAGATAACATCAATGACAGATCTTATTTTGCAATCAAAAGTTAAAAACTAACCGCTGCTTTCCAAAAAGTTTTCAGTTTACAAAAGCAGTTCAACATTTACGTGCCAGTCACCTCTCGAATACCTGTGTCAAGCTGTATTAATCTTTTACTAAAGCACAATAAAACCCTGTCTCAAGTATTTTTATGTAAAAATAATCGAATTAGAACAAACCAGTTGGCTTGCATCTAACAATCGCCTGTCAGGCTCACTGCAAGGTGCGTGTTACCGAGGCAGACAGGTGATTCTCTGGGTGTGCAAGTATGCAATTAATTCTAGATGTATCTAAGCTACTGTAATAAATTCAAGAAGAGTAGTACTGTTACAGTACAGGGCTCTCTCCTTCAGGTCCTTCCCATAGAGGTTGTACTTCGCTGCTATGTAGTTGAGGATGGCTCTGGTCTGCACCATCTTCATCCCATCGATCTCCACCATGGGCACTTGCTGAAACAGCAGGGATCCATCTAAAGGGAAAGACACACATTGTTCTACTGGACCCAGTAACTCCGCATCAGATTTCTTGCTGTCTTCATATCGTTACTTTTATGGTGTGCTTGCTGTGGGTAGTCATTATATTAAACTGGAGTTCTTCCATGAAAACAATAAATTACAGTGGTGCAGACAACTTAAACTGCAGAACACAATTATTGTGGAGTAACATCCCTGCTTTAAGAAAATTTCACTGAAATTGCAGTCAGGACTCTGTACAGCAGCTTTTATGCTGAAACAGAAATGCGTTGGAGACAATCACACTAAACATATCAACTGAGTAAAAAGTGTCTAGTTCTAAATACATTTTTAAAATTCTGTTTCGTTATTTAAAATGCAGTTGAAGCAAATGTCAGATTCCCAAACTTCTCTCGTATAACCAGCATCTTAAGCTAAATCAGGACATTCAATGAAGTTTCAGGATACGTTTTTGCAAGTTACTGAAGCCCAGGATAAGTTTGTGGGACCAGGTGGGACACATAGACAAACAGAGAACAGAACAACCCAGAGGCCTGGGAAACTCTCAAGGTTGAAAAGATACTCAATTTTCAATTGCATCTGTCCACATATGGGACAAAAAGATCAGCCTCTGCAGCTGTTCACAGCTCTCAGTTTTACTCCCCTCTCTGCTGTGTGGATGAAAGTCCCACACAGTCTTCAAAGTCTTCTCCTCACACATCTTCTCTGAGACTAAGTAAAGTCTGGTCACAGTTTTCTTGAGGCTTCACGTGGACTCACCTTGCAGGAGCTTCTCATACTGCTCTCGGGTTTCCAAAAACTCTTCATCAAACTGACAGAAGAGAATGAGGAAGAAGAGGAAGTGAGTGTCTTTTCACATTTCTGGAACAGATAAACTTTTAAAGCATCATAAAAGGAAGAGAATGTACATCATGATTCCTTCCATTCCAGATATGGCTCTAAGGGAGAAAATGCCAAGGGCAGAAGCACTGGCAAAACCTCTTGGGTTGTCACATCTGAGAAACGCTGCTAAAGGCAACCCTAACAGAAAAACAGGCAATAAGAACTGGAGTGAGGATGGTTGGTTTGGTATTGAACAGGCAATTTAATGTGAAACAGTCAACAATACAGACTAGGCTGTCCTTAAAATGCCTTCTGGTATCTGGAAAAAAGCTCTGCTGTGGGATATTTTGATTTGGGAGCTAGACAGGAACAAATTCTTCGGAAGTTAAAACAATGCTTTTACAAAATAATGTAAAATTATTATGCCCAGCAAGAAGTTTTGTACAGAAGCATCTTTAGGATCCCTAAAGATGGATTACTCACTAGATGAGAAACAAAAAGATACAGAATTGCCTGTGATCAGAATGGTTTAGTTATATTCAATATGGTTGAGGATGGCTGGTCCAATCAGTGCTACTTATGGAGGAATTCAGTTCAAGATTAAGACACCAAAGTTAGACGTCTACATGTACGTGTTTGCATGTGCCATACATGTCTATAGTCAATATAGACCATGGAGAGTAGAAAACGATTGAGTTTACCAGTCCCTAGATGCCTACCCAGTTGTGTCTTCCGTAAGGCCTTAAAATACAGACTGGTGGTCTTTCTAAAAAAACTCATATTCCTTGGCTCAGTACAGGGGTAACCATACGAAGTGCAACAGCCTACTATAGAAAAGAGGACACTCGGAGCAACTACTAGTCCTTTCTGTCCTCAGACTGAATTATCAGTTTATCACCAAGACAGACAGCAAATGAATAAGTCACTTACATCCCATCAAAACAAAATTTATTTTAAAGTGGTGTCTTGCTTCTCTGGTTTACCCAAATATTTTTCTTCCTGCTCTGACATTTTTTATTTCCCTAGTCAGTTTGCTCACTTCACCCTGTTAAGCCTCATCTAAATGATGCAAGTAAGACAAAATGTATTTCGTGCTATAGCTTATTGTGGAGGATGCAGCCAGTGGAGTGAAAAATAAAAATCTGTGTGTGAGCACCCAACTGAAAACAGAAAGACTAGAGAAAAAAAATTTGTTGCTCTTTTACTTGGCACAGATAACACTTGTTATGCCAGGAACACATCTATCATTCAGCTCAACAGCTCTGGGTCAGTAATCAAATGCTTAATTAAGCATTACGCATTCTTGCATTAGGCAAGAAACTGGTTTACAGCATCATGGCTCAGAAGACATGTAACTTGAAGCCATTCTTTTGTGTGCCTAAAGTAAGAGTGTTTAATTATACTGAATAGCCGATGTTCATTTACTATTGTGTCTTGGGATGCCCTTTTCTTTTTTGGTTAATAACCTCTGATCTGCTTCAAAGACAAGCTTACCAATGTGCAGTTTAAAGTCAAAAACACTAAACCAAACCTCGACCCCAGCTGCAGCTAACAACCAGCGAATTGACTCCATCTTGCCTCTTCCATTAAAGTAGTAAAGTTTCGGTTTTCCAGCCATGACTTCAAACTTCCCGTTACCTAAAATAGTTATAAGAGATAATAAGTTTATAATGATACAAAAATTTGATGGCAGCTGGAATAACAGTTCACAGCTCACTCGCATGATAAAAATTTAAGCTAATTAAAATTTAAGTTAAAATGTTTTAAGTTAAAAACATTTCAGTAAAACTTGCAGTCTAAACTGATTTGGTTTTACTGCTGCACAGTCAAGTCACAGTATTTCATAGTCTTTTCATTCCCCTGAAATTCAGGAAAAGTAAGCATCACGTTGCTAAGCAGGAGATAACAGAAAAAAATAAAGTCCTGACTAAGGAAATCCTTACAACTTTCAGAAAATGCAAGTTTTAGCACTAGAGTTACTCAATCACCACTGAAAGCCAAGTTTCGATCAAAGGGGAGAAGCGGCAGTAGACAGGTTTTTCAAATCTGGCAGAGCTTATATCAAAGAATGCCAAAACTGTCTAAACATTAATTCTATGCATACTTAGGTGAAGTATGGGAACATATTTTCCAAGCCTCTCACTTTCCTTTCTAGCTGTGGTGATCCAAGGTAAGTATGTGATCCAGAATCGGTAGAAATTTCAAAAGAATGACCAGTTTCTTCTGTAATAATCCAGATTAAAATACAAGGATTCAGACCATTGCACTATTTATCCTCCTACTGGTCGCATTTCTTTCTATTAATAAACCTTGTTGCTAAGCAAAACTTTACAGACTTTTCAGTCGATCAAATACACCATGCTTTGCAAGCAGCATTTTAGTTCTTGAATGGCTCCATAAATGAGGCTATTAAGTGCTATTTTTCGAATAGACTAGTATTTAGAAAAAAGGAACTGGATTCCACTGTAGAGCCATAAGCCAAGGGAGAATCACATTGCATCATATCAGCATTTCATACGCAGAACTCTGTAAGAGCAACTCTTTGCTGCAACCCAGAGCTGTTTTCCCTCTGTAGGGAGATTTCTTGTCATTCCAATCCACAGTTCAAGTAACCCTGGAAAAGAGGCTGTTGGCATGCGAACAATAACCTCCAGTTCCCAATGTTGCAAGAAATCTTTTGTAAGTGGAGGGGAAAAGCGACCTTTGAAAGACCTTGAGCACACGGGCAACAAGCGATCTGCTTGTTAGCCAACAGGCATGAAAACAGAACACAAAATATGAGACTGCATCTGACCACAGGAATTCAAATGAGCCAGGCTATTTGGCCCTTCACGCCTACTTAGAGGCCTCCATTTCTTCTTAGGTAAGTCACTGGGAAAGAAAACATTGCTGAGTAGTAACTGTACTGCTAATAAATGTAACGGTGCATGAGAAAGAGAAAGAGACTAAAGAAAAGTATGTGTGAACTACATGAAAGAACAGAATGAAACAGGAGTTGCTTGTACTACAGCCAAATTCACGGAAGAAAAAAAAAGGAAAAGGCCATTTTTAACTTGAAGTTTAAAAAATTAAAGAAATGGAAGAGCCATTTTTCTTCAGTGCACCTTCCTAAGACAACTCCTAGCAGGCCAACCGATGCGTCACAGGATAATCAAGTCACTGCTGCCAAACACGCGTCAGTGCAGCAAAGGCACGTGGAAGGTGAAGACATGGTGGATGCTTGCCTTGAAGATACAGGGGGATCAACGAGCTTTGAAGCCAAGTGTAGCATGCTGGTTCCTAAGAGTGAGCCTGCCATGCAATATAGGAGGAGAAAGCCCAACGTGTGAGTGGAAATCTGACGGAAAGAGAGCACCTTGAGGACGGGCAAAGAGCTTTGTCCTTCCCCGCTCTTCTCACCAGAAGGAAAGGAGGGAAATGGTAATGTGCAGCCAGGAGCTGCAATCGCAGGTAGATTGCTGACCCTTCCCCTCAGCCTGGTGTCTCAACAGCAAAAGGGATTTTGGGAAAAAAGGATCTGAATTTACTCCCTTGTTGTGATTTATGAAGGCCGCCTGGGCTAACAGAGGGAAAAGTGGGAACACAAATATCTGTGCAAGGAGTCGTCACTCTCGTGCTACCCACACAGACCAGACCACCACCGGTGAAGGGGCCCCGGAGACCAGCTGTGCCTGGCACGTCCGGCAGATCCAAGACCCCAGGACCCGATCTTCCCTGCGTGCATTCAGC